CGTCTTGCATTGTGAGACCCTGAAAAATTCATTACGAGTTAAGGCATAAACAATAGCGTTTTAGGCTCTTACATCATATTGGGCACGCTTGTTTTCATCTGACGTTCATTGATCAAAAGTCTTTGGAATAGCTCCAGACTCCGTTGTTCTCATTGGAATGTAGGGACCGTTGAGTACAGCATCCCAAACACCGTAATCTAGTGTTTGTAAAAATATTTTCATTCTTTCCTTCCAAAACTGATAGTTTTCTCTTTCAAATAATGGTGGTTTGTTTATTGAGGCTCCTTCCCTGTAAAATTGATTATGCATAGATATCTTGACAGATCGTTTAGAAATATCTTATCTAACCAAGCTCTGATACCACTTGTTAGACAAATGACATCTAGAGGGGGGGTGAATAGATGCACAAATTAAAATAGATGTCAAATTAAAAATTTATTTATGAGTCAATAATTTGTTAAAGCGGAAACAATAATATAATCAGGAAAGGAGAAAGAGATAAGGGAAAGAGAATAGTACACAATAATTTATACTGGTTCGGGTATAGCCAACCCTATATCCAGTTTCCAGTCAACTCTTAACACTAGAGTGACTCCCCATTCACTATCTTTCAAATTCAGTTTACAAATTACAATCAACTCAGCAGAAGAACCAGTAAAAAGTAAACTAATTAAAAAGACAATCACCTCCTTAGAAACCCACTAAGGATGAACATCTCCCTAGAATCCCACTAGGGATGAACACCTCCTCTGAACAAATCAAAGGATGAAAACACCTCCTTAGAATCCCATTAAGGATGAAAATCTCCCTAGAATCACACTAGGGATGAAAAACACCTCCTTTTCAACCAATGCAAAAAGGATGAAGGTAATAAAAATAAGAACAGACACACCTGGGTAATGGAGACAACAAATTGTAGAAGCCTGTAGAATGCCAATCTCCAAGAACAAGTGTGATTAACAAGGAAAGCACAAAAGGCAGTAGAGAAGAGAGTTTTCTCAAAAGGGGTAAAATATCTCTGTTGTCTTGCTAAGAATTCTTTTCTCAAAACTAATTGAATGTAAATTGTATTTTTGAATTCTCGTAATTGTGTCATTTGATTTTTCATCAAAACTTAATTAAATAGAAAAATAACATCAGAAAATGACCGTTGGACATTAATAATATCATAGAAAAAATCAGGATGTATTAAAAAATATTTATTCTTTAAAATAAATATATTTTTCAAATTTGAATTGCCATAATTGATTATATTACCAGTATAATTAATTATGATAGAGAAAATCATTTTTCCATTTATGGTGCATCATAATTAATTATCACAGTGAAAAATATCATGTTATGAATTTTATCACACTTGTGCTTTGGAGACTTATGCATAATATTACTTCATCAACTTGTATCTCTATATCCAGTATTCTAAGACTCTATCTAGTCTTCAGGAATCATTTTGGGTTTGCTTGAATCATCATCTTTATCAAAAACATATATTGGACATGTAGGGAAATGTTTCACATTGTCACCTACGTCATAAATTCAGCTTGTCCTTAAATTCATCTTGAATGGTGTTGACTTGAATGTAGTTGACTTGAATCATCATCAAAATCATCTCTTGGGAATGCAGGAACATTTCCATCAATCTCCCCCTCATTGCTTTCACCTACAACGTTCGAGTCAGAAAACCCAGCGATCTCCAACTGGTCTGACTTCCTGTATGTGAGCATGTAATCTTTTGTTCTTTTTAAATATCTCATGACCCTTTTTGCTGCTTTCCAATGGTCCATTCCTGGATTGCTTAAATATCTGCCTAGAACCCCAACTATGTATGCTATGTTTGGACGCGTACATACTTGGGCATAGGGAATCTTTTGCATTTCCTCAATTTTTAAATTTCCCTTTGGGCGCTATCAGCAACTGGAGTATCTCCGGATTTACATTCATGCATGCCAAACCTTTTAAGAATTTTTTCGATATAGCTCCTTTGTGATAATCCTAAAATATCTTGACATCGATCTCGGTGTATCTGAATTCCTAATACAAAATATGCATCACCAAGATCTTTCATTTCGAAATTCTTTGATAAAAATTTCTTGGTTTCGTGCAATATGCCTATATTATTAGTGGCAAGTAGAATGCCATCAACATACAAGATCAGAAAAATATACTTACTCCCCTTAAACTTGTGATATACACAATCATCAACAATATTCATTTCGAAGACAAATGAGAGAATTACTTGATGAAATTTATAGTACCATTGATGAGATGCTTGTTTTAGTCCATAAATGGATTTTGTCAGTTTGCAAACCATACTCTTTGAATCTCCCTGCACAAAATTTTCTAGTTGTACCATATAAATCGTCTCATTAATGTTGTCATTAAGAAACACTGTCTTGACATCCATTTGATCAAGCTCCAAATCATAATGTGCTACAAGAGCCATGATTGTCCTAAAAGAGTCTTTCGATGAAACTAGAGAGAAAGTCTCTTTAAAGTCAATCCCTTCCTTTTAGATATAGCCCTTAGCTACCAGACGAGTCTTATACCTTTCCACATTACCTTTAGAATCCTGTTTGGTCTTAAATATTCACTTGCAACCAATGAGTATCATACCTTCTGGTAATGGGACAAGTTCCCAAACCTTATTGTCTTGCATGGACTTATACTCCTCCTTCATTACTTCAATCCACTTTTCAGAGTCATAACCTTGCATGGCTTGACGGAAGTTAACTGGGTCATCTTCCATCATACCATTGTTTTCCTCATGTTCCTGAAGAAATACCATGTAATCATCTGAAATAGCAATTCTTCTTTCTCTAGTGGATCTCCGCAAAGTTATTGGCTCATGATACACAGGTTTTTGAGGATCTTGAATTTGTTCTTCATGAACAACCAAATCATCTTGAGTAAGGGGTTCATTAACAATGCCTTGTGGAGGTTCCGAACTTACTTTATCAAAAGTAACTGTTTGAATCGGTTCTGGAATTGTTACCGATTCTTCCTCCAAGACAAAGTTCCTGATTTTATTCTTCCCCCCAAACTCAATATCCTCAAAGAATGTAGCAGTTCCCGTCTAAAAAATTGTCTTTAATGTGGGATCATAAAATTTATATCCCCTGGATCTTTTAGCATAACCAATAAAATAACTACTTACTGTTCGTGAGTCCAATTTCTTTTCATTTGGCTTATAAGACCTTGTCTCAACTTGGACAACCCCACACATGGAAATGCTTCAAACTAGGTTGTCGCCTACCCAAAGCTCATAAGGTGTTTTGGTCGTCGCTTTAGTTGGTACTCGTTCGAATATAAGCTACCGTCTTTAGTGTCTCTCCCCAGAGTGACTCTTGTAAGGTGGAATGACAAATCATATTCCTGACCATATCTTTAAGAGTCCGGTTTCGTCTTTCAGCTACACCATTCATGCTAGGTAATCCCGGCATGGTATACTGTGGGACAATTCCACACTCCTCTAGATACCTGGCAAAAGGTCCTAGATGCTGTTCACCTGACCCGTCAAATCTGTCATAGTACTCACCACCACGATCAGATCTGACAGACTTAATTCTTTTATTGAGTTGATTTTCAACTTCAGCTTTAAATGTTTTGAACACGTCTAGAGATTGTGACTTTTCATGTATAAGGTATAAGTATGCATATCGTGAGTAATCGTCTATGAATGATATAAAGTATTGTTGACCATTCCACGAAGGTGTAGGAAATGACCCACAAATGTCCGTATGTATCAACTCTAAGACGTCTGTAGCTCTATATGCACATAATCTCTTCGCTTTGGTCTGTTTGCCCTTAATGCATTCAACAAAAACATCAAAGTTTGTGAAGTCAATAGACTCTAAGATTCCAGTTGACACAAGTCGTTCAATTCTATTTTTAGAGATGTGACCTAATCACCTGTGCCATAATGCTCCTGAGTGAGTATCATTAATTTTACGTTTAGTACCCCGTGATTCTGTATTAAGGGTTTCATTATAGGTGGTCACAGTATCAAGTAAATACAAATTATCATAAGGCAAAAGTGAACCAGTTCCAATAATATCTGAATTAAAAGACAAACTGAACTTATTGTTTCCAAATGAACACAAATAACCTAATTTATCCAAATAAGAAATTGAAATCAAATTCCGTCTAAATGACGGCACAACAAAAGTGTCTTTCAAATTCAAATAAAAACCAGTACTCAATAACAATTTAAAATGTCCTATAACTTCCACCTCTACCGATTTGCCATCTCCAACATATATCCATCTTTCATAATCAATTGGCTTCTGGTAGTTTAGGCAACCCTTTATAGAAACACTGATGTTAGTAGTTGCACCCGAGTCTAACCACCAAGTGTTACCTGGTATCGACGCTAAATTGACTTCGAACAGTACCAAAGTAGGAAACATACTTTTGAGGATCGGAACATAATTTAAATTGGCGAGATACGTAAACAATTGTAGCTGAATTAAAAACAAAAGAAATAAATTAATTATGCTCACATTATAAAAATAAATAATTATAAATAAAATATATATTCAAATAATGGTTTAACTCATCTCAAGACACCCAATGCACCATCAATATCAAGTCTTTGGACAGTAATATTAACTGCTAGAGATATCTTGTTGTAATAATCAAACATTGACAATAAAACACGTCCAACAACAAACCAGTCTTTGGATTGATTTATCATCGACAAAGTAAATCCTTATAATTATCACATGTTTATCATTACAAGTGTATATGCAATTCGACCAAATATTAATCTTCCTTTGGGCCGACTAATACTCGTATGAATATACACAAACACTAACATTCAATATTTTTCACGAACTACCCAATTCAAGAGATGTTACTTTGGTAACTTCTTGACTCAAATTGCACACAAAAATATTAAACTACCAAACAAATTGAATATATTAGTAAGGGTAACCCTAAACCAAATTAAGTCTCAACAGCCACTTCTAATAAAAACCCTAAACGTACATATGCTCCCAACTATGAAATCCCTCCACGACGCCTTTCTCGCTCGGGATCCTGGCCTCGTCAGACCCTCCCAGTGCCTATTCTTGACTTCCACTGGCGTCGTATAACGGGAGTTTCATTAAGCACATTAACTATGGGAAAATGACCCCTCTAATGCCTAATAGGACTTTCATCTTCTCTTTGTTCAATGAGAATTTGAAGCCCACAATTTCTGAACGTAACTATGGCTTGTTTAATCCTGATCTTACCCCTTAACCTGAATTAGCCAAATGGTCCCATTCAAATTTCCTTCTGCGATTCATTTATGGGAGCAATACATCAAATTGTACTACAATGCCACGTATGATGGCTTATTATTTAAGGCAGCAGGTCCCACGACATTAACACCATCATATTCACCTTCTTCTCCACACGTGCCACGTATGATCGCTTGTTGGTACCTTTGATGGTGAAGGAATCCAAACCCTAAACCCCTTCAGGATACTGTGGCCGTTTGAGGTGGTGGCGAGCCCATGTTCGTTGTCACGTATAAGGGTGAGGAGATGATATTCTCATGAAGAACGCTGTCATTACTGTCCCTGTCCATGAAAACACTAAACTGCACCATGCCTGAATTACCTCGTGATCCAGTGTCCAATGAAGACAAAGGAGCAGTGTCTCCTCCACGAGCAGAAGCAGTTTGGGGATTTCACCCTCAAATTCGAAATTAGGTTTTAAAATTGGGGATTTTACCCAAATTTAAATTTAGGGTTCACAAAATTTGGAGATTATTCTTCACCTGAATTCTCAAATCTCAATTTTGTTAAATCTAATTTCCAAAGGCAAACATGAATCAAGTATGGGTTGCTCTGATACCAATTGATAGGTAAACTAATAATTAAATATGATCTTCAATCTAACGATCAAATATAAAGTAATCCCATACTGTAAACATGTTGTAAACTAAATGCGAAAATGTACCTGAATTAGTCATAATGATGATGTCCCTTTTAGAGCAATATTGATCTTATGGTCTTCCTTCTGGAAAGCACCTGTATTTCCTTTTGGATTTTCTCTCTTGATGGGGATAGAAAGAAAAGAACGGGACTGATACTTACGTTCTATGTGTGTGCTCCCAGATGGGGACCATGACCCTTTAAATAACCAGAATTAGGTTAATTACTTAAGTTTTTGTATTTTCAATTTGGCCCCTCATCAAATTAGAAATTACTCTATGGTCTCTACACAATTTTATTTTCATGACATATGCCTTTAGCCAAAACTTTAATTTAGTTAGATCACTTTATTATTTGGCTTAATAAATAATGACCCTAACACATTTAAATTATGTATCATATATATATACATGACCCAAAATTTGCCAACATCTTTCTTATAAGAATTCATATATATTTCTTTCTTTCATTCTTTAGTATTTCTTACAAAATTTCCTATATCTTCTTTCTTTAATTATTCTCACCAGAATTCTTAATCTTTCTTCCTTTCCTTTTTTTAGTTCTTCTCTTTCTTACCAAAATTCCAATATGTATCTTTCATTCTTCTTTCTTCGACTCTAACAAGAATTTCTATATCATTCTTTCTTTAATTCTTTTTTCATGACTAGAATTCTTATATCTTTCTTTCGTTCATTCTTTAATATTTTTGACAAGAATTATCTCTCTTTCATTCCTTAATCTTTCTTACAAAAATTTCTATGTATATCTTTCTTTCATTCATTCTTTAATCATTTTTACAAGAATTCCTATATCTTTCTTTCTCTCTTTCTTTCTTTGATTCTTCTTTCGTACAATAATTCCTATATCTTTCTTTAATTCTTTCTTTGTGACGAGAATTCTTATATATTTCTTTCTTTTTAATTTTTTCTTAGAAGAGTTTCTATATATTTCTTTATTTCATTTTTTAATCTTTCTTATAAGAATTCATATATATTTCTTTCTTTCTTTCTTACAAGATTTCCTATATCTCTCTTTCTTTAATCTTTCTCACAAGAATTCTTAATCTTTCTTCCTTTCTTTCCTTAATTCTTGTCTTTTTTAACAAAATTCTTATATCTTTCTCTCTTTTTTTCTTCTTTCTGTGACTCTTACGAGAATTTCTACATTATTCTTTCTTTACTTCTTTCTTCATGACAAGAATTCTTATATTTTTCTTTCATTCATTCTTTAATGTTTCTTACAAGAAGTCCTATATATTTCTTTCTTTCTTACAAGAATTCCTATATATATCTTTCTTTCTTTCATTCTTTAATCATTCTTACAAGAATTCCTATATCTTTCTTTCTCTCTTTCTTTCCAACAATAATTCCTTTATCTTTCATTAGTCCTTTCTTTCTTACAAGTCTTTCTCCCTCTCTCTCTCTCTCTATATATATATATATATATTTTTTTTTTTCCTTTAATTCTTTCTTTGTCACGAGAATTCTTATATATTTCTTTCTTTCTTTCTTTCGTTCTTTAATATTTCATACAAGATTTCCTATATCTTTCTTTCTTTAATTCTTTCTTATAAGACTTACTATATATATCTTTCTTCCTTTCTTGTTTCTTTGACTCTTACAAAAATTTCTATATCATTCTTTTTTTACTTCTTTCCTCATGACAATAATTTTTATATCTTGCTTTCTGCTTTCTTTGATCTTCGTAACAAGAATACCTATATTATTTATTTATTTCTTACAAGAATTCCCTATATATTTCTTTCTTTTTTTCATTCTTTAATCTTCCTTACAAGAATTTCTATATATATCTTTCTTTCAATCTTTAATCATTCTTACAAGAATTCCTATATCTTTCTTTCTTACAATTACAATAATTCCTATATCTTTCTTTAATTCTTTCTTTCTTACAAGACTATTTCTGTATATATTTTTTTATTTAATTCTTTCTTTGTCACAAGAATTCTTATTTCTTTACTTTCCTTCTTTCTTTACTTTCCTTCTTTCTTTTTTTTAGTAGCATTTCTATATATTTCTTTATTTCATTCTTTAATATTTCCTATTAGAATTCCTATATATTTTTTTCTTTAATCTTTCGTACAAGATTTCCTATATCTTTCTTTCTTTTAATCTTTCTCACAAGAATTCTGAATCTTTCTTTTAATCTTTCTTTAATTCTTGTCTTTCTTACCAAAATTCTTATATCTTTCTTTCTTCTTTCTTTGACTCGTACAAGAATTCCTGTATCATTATTTCTTTAATTCTTTCTTCATGGCAAGAATTCTTATATCTTTCTTTCTTTCAATCATTCTTTAATTTTTCTTACAAGAATTCCTGTATATTTCTTTCTTTCTTTCTTTCATTCTTTAATCTTTCTTACAAGAATTCCTATATTTTTTTTCTTATATCTTTAATCTTTCTTACAAAACCTATATCTTTCTTTCATTCTTTAATATTTCTTACAAGACGATTTTTCTTTCTTTCTTTCTAACTTTAATTCTTTTCTTTATTTCTCTCTTTAACTCTTATAAGAATTCCTATATCTTTCTTTAACTCTTCCTAGAATCCCTATATCTTTCTGACAAGAATTCCTATTTATATTTTTCTTTCTTTCAATCTTTCCTTTTTACTTACAAGAACTCCTATATGTTTCTTTCATTCTTTCTTATAAGAATTTCTATACATTTCCTTTTTTATATCTTTACAAAAGTACTAAAATACACCTATAAAACAATAACTTGCTAAAGTTAGCCAGAACTGAACAGTAATAATCTATCGTGGTACAATCAGTGTCAAAATCCATGCTAATGCTAAAATACTGAGATGATTTGAGTTTGGATCTTTAAGCTTATAATTACTTGATACTGTGTGAATCTTTGTCAAAGTAATCCTTCTTTTTTATCATTATGGTCAAAAACTCAATACTATAAGCGTGTTTGAGAGTAAGCATTTGTGGTGATGCGAAATATCGTTTTCTCCTCTTAATGGTAGAGTGTTCAACAATATGTGAAAGAAGAAAAATGGAGAACATTGATGTTGATATTTTGGAATAGGAAATCTTTATAGTGAAAAATTAGAATTAGGTAAGTTGGTAATATCTCTAGAAAACAATTTTTGGAAGTCCTTGCCTTCTTAAACATAGTGTGATTAATTGTCGTAACTGGTGTGGTATTAGTTATGTAGTGTTGTAGTACAATTCCATTACCACTTTTGTTTCTACTTTACCATCCTGTCTGTTCAATTTTTTACTCTCCTCAATCATAAAGAACTCTTCTTATTCTACACTTCTATGCAGATAAGGAATAATCCTGCAGCTTTACTGGCTTTATGTTGGTATTGGGCCACAGGTGGTGTAGGATCAAAAGTATGGATTAGATACTTTTAGTTTATGAATGATTAGCCACTTTCTTCTTTTCTGTTTCATTTCACTATTGGTTATTATGGTTCTATTCTTCCTTTTATTACTCAGGATATGGTTATCCTTCCGTATAAGGACAGCTTGTTATTATTTAGTAGATACTTGCAGCAGTTGGTCATGGAATCTCTTGGCAAGGAGTTTGACTTGGATGGTAATCGGGTATGTGTAACAAATCTGACTACCATTATTTTGATACTTTGTCTTGCGTCTTTTTGGTGAATACAGTTGAGATTTTTCTTTGTTCAGTTTACAGCTGGCCAGTAACTATTAAGAGCTGAATGGTCTCTTGTTATCTGTAGTTTTGTAAATTGTAATCACATAGGAAGCACACATTTTACACTTTTAGATGGCTCACTTGCTTTTATCATATCTGACATGCTGCTGATATACATAAACTCACAATTTGTTACAATGCTTAATCTTAAACACTTCAAATCTTCATGAAGTTATGTCATCCGAATTTGCTTCCACAGGTTAACCAAGGAATTACTGTCTACGGAAATAAAGGAAGCACAGATCAGCATGCGTGAGTTTTTGTTCTAGTTTAGTGTTCATTTGACATAATTTTTGGTTTGAATTGTTTAATAGTTTTTTTACCGGAAACAGCTACATTCAGCAACTGAGGGAAGGTGTACACAATTTTTTTGTGACATTCATTGAGGTGCTACGTGATAGACCACCTGGTCATGATTGGGAGCTTGAACCAGGTGTCACATGCGGTGACTACCTGTTTGGTATGCTACAGGTCTGACCTATCAATCAACCATATTTTCTCATTGCATTTGGTGGTGATTCTATTGGCTGTGTTGAGTTTTTATGTATCGTAGTGCTAAAAAGTAAAGTTTCTACAGGGAACAAGGTCAGCCCTGTATGCCAATAACCGTGAATCCCTCACAGTTACGGTGCAAGAAGTGAACCCCAGATCAGTTGGCGCCCTAATAGCTCTTTATGAACGGGCAGTTGGAATATATGCCTCGCTTGTTAACATAAATGCTTATCACCAACCTGGTACGCTGTAAACATTTGATATCTAGTCTGCTTTAGGATTTTCTGGATCTCAACAAAATATTGAAAATCATCCTTGCGTCGTTCTTTGATCTCTGTTGATTTGTAAATTTGACTGTTGCAAATTAAATTGTTTTAGTTTTTTAGTGACTAAATTAGTGTCACCATTCTCATGTAACTGCTACTGAATCTGATAATTAGGTGTGGAAGCTGGTAAGAAAGCCGCAGGAGAAGTATTAGCTCTTCAGAAGCGGGTATTGGCGGTGCTAAATGAAGCAAGGTACTATTTATTATGCTTAATAAATATCAGACTTCTATGTCTGAGCAAGAAATATTAAAAAATATGACATGAGGTATGAGTTGAGAAGAACCTAGAGTGTAGCTTTGGAACTAGGATGTATTCTCGGGGTCAGCATTGTTTTCTATCAGTGTGTCTACTTACGATGCAGTTGACTTATACTAAGAACTTAGAAGCTTTGGATCTCTTGGTATAATCTTTGGAATTTTTGTTATTATTAATTCAAGACGGTTGCCCCTTCTAGTGGCTGAGGATTCAGATTCCAATGTTATGCATGCTATATACTCACTATTAACGATAATAGAAGAGGATCAATATTTGGATTTCATACTAAGCTTGGTATATAGCATCCAAAGCAACCATAACTTTGGTACATTTGCCTAGTTAAATCCATCACTTACCTCTATTTATCTATTTCTATCTTCAGCTGCAAGCAGCCTGTTGAACCATTAACACTTGAAGAAGTAGCTGACCGTTGCCATGCCCCAGAAGATGTATATACTTTTGCCACAACGCTCCCTTATATTAATTTTTTCTTAATTAAGATTATTATTAATGATATTATTAATAGTTCTATTAAGAACTGCAAATCTGTTAAATTTAGCAACATTTTTTACTTTTTCTGCAGATTGAAATGATTTACAAGATCATTGCTCATATGGCTGCCAACGACAGAGCATTAATTGCTGAAGGTAACTGTGGTTCTCCGCGGAGCATTAAGGTTTTTCTTGGGGAGTGTAATCTTGATGAACTCTACCCTTGAGTTAGATCAGTGGAATCCTCATTCATAACGTTATAGATGTGTCTGAATACCCATCAAAAAGCAATAAATTTTTTGGTTGTTGGATCTCCATCTACAATGAAGATACTTTTTTTTTTTTCAATTTATTTGGACGAACATTTGAAACGGTGGTTGAGTTTAGGTGATCTATTTGACTCATAATTAATTTAACAATTGAATGTATCATAATACGAAATGGAGGATCAATATATAATTAAACAAGTTGGTCTTTATGTAACTAGTGACCTTTAACCAGAATTTGTCCATAAAAGAATCATGATGAGCCTTTGTAGACATAATGTTGTACAGTAAAATAAGATTAGCCGACTAAGCAAAGAGCTACATCGCAAAAGCACCACGTCATTCAGGTAATGAAATGCATCGTAATGTGTGATGCTACCTTAATTCCGTTCCTTTACTTGTGCATCCTCAGCCGGTCATGTGTGCTGACTTGGCCTCAACTGTTTGCTTTTGAGTGCAAATCCTGACAAATGAATTCCGAGGACTAACTTAAAAATAGTTCTTTAACGCACAGTGTAACTTAACAATTGGGTAAAATCAAATAATTTATCTTTCTATCAATATTATAAAATGGTTACAAATTATGCACCATGAGCCATACGATCACAAGTTTGATAGATGTTGTACCTAATAAAGCCAATGAGGAGGACAATTGAACGTAATATGTTTCTATCAGGCAATAAGCATAACAATTGGGTTGATTCAAGCATTTTTCAATCCATTGTCTCGTTGTAAGGTCCTTTATTATTTTTATTCTCAAATATTTGTCACCTCAAAGACGAACTTTTCACACGCAGCTAACAATTAAATTTAAACACTCCCTGTTGCTTGGCTGTCTATAGTTTAAACATAAATAAATAAAAACGCGTTCACATGTATCCATTTTAACGTAAAACGTCTCCCTTGTCTTGCACCTTATTTTGTGCTGAATGGATGCTCAGGTGTTCCACACCGCACCATGCCTACAAAATGACCCATCTTTCTTTAACACGACAACTTCCTCTATTTCATTCCTCCACCATTATTACCTAAAAAACCATATCGGATTTATTTAATTTAATTCTATCCCTATAATTTTATCTCTAAAAACCTTTGAGTTGAGGGTGTTATGAAAAAAGTCTGGTGGGCGCGTTGATCATTTACTTGCCTAATGTGCAGCAGAAGGTAACAACCAACCAACCAAGTACCAGTGGGACTCTTGCATCAAAATGATAATGTCATCATTGAATATTTGAAATGGGAAAATGTCAAATATCATTAAAAGTTTATCGTTATATTGACATTCAAAAAAATTCAAATTAAAGTCCCTTCCCTTCACGGGCTAAAACTTTCATGATTCTAGCCGTCAAAGTGAAGCATATTCCATGTGGGTGTGACAACAAACTTCCCAAGGCAACATAGTCACAGATTTCCCTTCAATGGCTCTGTCACTCAAACACTCATTCACCGACCTAACCACGTTGAGTCATTGGCCGAGTAACTCAGCCAACAGCATGTATCAACCTAAAACAAAGAAATAGATTGGGCAAAAGTGGGACCCACCGGCATGTGCTTATGCCACTTGTGGGGACCCCTTTTGCTCTTTTGCTTAATTTTTTTATCGGCTCAACCGCGAATTTTATTGTTAAAGACGACAGACCATAAAGTGTCCCCACTACAACGTTCGAGTTTTGATTTTATCAAATCTTTAGTGTTTTATTGAATTAAATATTTATAAAAATCCATTAAAAGCAAATTAATTGCACCATTCCGTTCACTCGTCATTGGTCAAGTCTCTTATTAGTCGGTCATAAATCAATAAATAAATTATAGGTGATCGTCCCTTCGCACAGGGCAAGACGCCGTCGTATCACCATCGTGTTCATGATACGTTGTCGTTCATTACAAAAATTTATAGAATTACACACCCGATTTCCTATTAATTGAATAATAATGTATATTTTGGCAACGTTCCTGTTGAGAGCTTGATGTGTAGGAAGTATGTTTTCAATTTAATTCACGTTGTTTTTAATATGTTAAAAGCTATAATAATTATGGAAAACGTTGAGTTTCATATGTATGAAGTGCGCTTTCAATTAAATTCACGTTATTTTTTTCATATGTTAAATATTTTTTCAAGGAAATGTATTAAAAAATATTGCTTTTTAAAAGATAAAAAATCTATCTAGTCTATTTTATTTAGGGAAAAACTAAAACTAAAAATATTTATATTAAACAAAATGTACAATTGTAAACTTTATCTTTCTAATGTTAAATTGACATTGATCTGATTTTAAGATTTCTAATTACAAAAAATGACACTAATTATCCTAGCCGTGTTTTTTTTTCCATGTAAATTACAGATTTCTACGCTAGCAAGGTTTTCTACCATGATAAATAAAATGTTGTCATGAATGCTATTGGTTACAGAATATATTTTTTTTTAAACACGATATTTTATTTTATTTTCTTATAAATCATTGAAGAATAGTGAGTGCAGAGGCACCAAAAGAAAGAGACCAGCCGCAGAGTTTTTGAGTTTTGTGGGTCATTTCTTCTGTTGAGTCTATGAGTCAGTGAGTGAGAGAGAAACCAAACCAAAGGAAGCTTTTTGAGTAAGCAAACCCCCTTTTTCTCTCCCTCAAATGTCGCACCCCGTTAGGTTTCTAGTTGTATTTCTACTCTCTCTAGTAAACTGATTCCACTCTCTCTCCACAAGACTTTTTATTTATTTCTTTTTTGCCGTTTGGTACCCTCTCCTCTGCACCCAAACCCTTCTAACTTGTGTGATCTTACATGCTAGAATGCTGTAGTATCTCCTTCATTTATTGTAGCACCATTCTCATTGTTTTATCAAAAGCTTCATCATTTTGTGTTAGGCCTTTCATTTGGAAGTGCATTCGCTTCAAGAGGTTGCTATTTTAGATTTAGCAGTTAGGTTAAGATGTTCACTGAAGGTCTTGACAGAAATGCACTTCGATGGGTTAGAGAGGTAACCATCACTTGACAATCCTCTGCCCTTTCAATTTTATTTCTTAGAGTTTTAATATTTGAGGGTATATCGGCATGGGGTTTCGTAATTTGGCGTAGTGTTTGTGAAGTTGTGATTTTTTTATTTTTAATTTAGTACTAGTGTTCTGGAACACCATTTCCACTACATTGATACCAGATTAATGTTTGCAAGTTTTTTTTTTTTTTTTAAACTTTCACTTTGGATTAAAGAATAGAGAGGAAGTTCCATTCTCCTACTGCTCCTTCAGGTCACATTAGTGTTTGTGTAAATTCTGATTTTATTTTTTTTTATTGGTGATTAGAAGGAAGTTCCAAACTCAAACACCGCATTGAGATCTCGCAATGATCCCATCAATGGTATGAAGAGTGGTGCTGGCAGAGGGTTTGGTCTACCAGCCCCAGCAAAATTCAGAAGTGGGCATCTTCCTGCTAATGCAATCCCTGTATCAACCGTTATGCCGGGTGAGACTGGCGATAGTGCTTCCAATTCCGATAACGATGACAGCATGGAATCGGAGGAAGAAATTTATGGTGCCAGGTACTCATTGGATTCGTCACCACAAGACCGAAGAGTCCCCAGTGGTGCTGCTAGGATATTTAGAAACTTCAATCAGAGGGGACCTCGGTATGGAAGTGATTATACATACTCGGAGGTCAGTTCTTCCAGGGAAACACTGGTTGGGAGATCTGGCACTGTGAGGGATCCGATGATGAGGGGGACTGCTAATGTAAGGCAGAGTGGGTTCACAGAGGATGATTCATCGGATTCTGCAGCTAGCTCTGAATTCTCTACCACACAGGTAGGAGGAAGTGTCAATGGAGCTCTGCCAAGAAGTAGAACTTATTTGTCCGAAGGGTATGCTTCTAGTGTGCCTTCAAGGATGAACGTGAAAAGTGCTGCAGAAAAGGTATGGATGGTGGATATGGTATAAATTATTGAAGTGCATGGCTGTAATTTAGCCTACAGTGTTTTTCCTGGTATAATAGCTAATATTGATTTCTTTTTTAATGAAACTCTGGATAGCGCCAAAAAGCATTGTTTTCAGAATATCAGCAATACTGATATTTTTCCGGGTATAATTGCTAATATTGAATTTTTGTTAATGACACTTTGTAAAGTGAGAAAAAGCATTGTTTTTAGAATAGCAGTTTTTTTTTACTCTGTAATTTAAATTTTGTATTTGATAAGGCAGATTCTGAATTACTCACTGTTGTTCTGGGCAATGTGCCTCTGCTTTATCACTCATTATTTCCTAATAAATTTTCTCATCTTTGATTAAGGGCTTAAACCCACTAGGCTACAAACTAAATATCTTGTATGGCTGAAATTAGTCTTAACTTCTTGATTTGTGTTACGAAATTCTCAGCATGGAAGAATATCTGATGATGAGGATGATGACATTCCCAGTGCACCCCCATTTTCTGGTTCTACTCAAGATATCAGACAAACACATGAGGAAATCCCTACTTCCAGAACTCATATTTCTCCAAACAAAGCTGAATCAAGTACCTTGAAATCTAAGTCTGGGGATAAGATAGACAACCATGTTGAAAGTTGGAGCCCTGACCAATTTGTTAGGTTAGCATAGACATTTGAGTCTTTAACCTCTTCAAAAGTACATGACTTCCTAGCCAAACAGTTTATCTGAATGTGTAACTATCCAATACTATTTAATCTATTCTATGTTTACAGAACTGCTACTGGTTCAGAGGCTGGTACATCTTCAAATTCTCACCCACCTCGCCTTCCAACATTTCATGCAAGGTATTTTATGTCTTTTTGATTGTGCTAAATACTTTCCCTTTAGCTGCGGCTAATTACTATGTAAATTCATTGCAGTGCTCTTGGGCCATGGCATGGAGTGATTGCATATGATGCTTGTGTGCGTCTTTGCCTACATGCTTGGGCAATGCAGTGCATGGAAGCTCCTATGTTTTTGGAAAATGAATGTGCATTACTTAGGGATTCG